TGGGGAGGTCAGCTGGAGCAGGCCAGGACCTGATGCCCCTGTTGGAAAGGGGTGCATGGGTAGGAGGGCTTGGCTCTGGCAGGTCCAGTCTGACAAACCTTTACCCCAGAAGAGCCCTATGCCAAGCCAGTTGTTCAGGACTCCTCTTTATTCAGCTGCCACACGGAGCTGAGAAGAGAACCTGACTTATAGCCTGTTCTGGCCATGTTTCTACCGTGTTTTATTGTTTTAATTGTACATATGAGAGGCACTCAGAGTGTTCGTGGGCATTTCTGACAGCACCAGACACTGGATGTTTATAATCGTAACTTATAAGCAGCCTGCGGCATCCATAGCTGGGCGACTTGTTTACTGTTACCACTAATTTAATGTCTCCTCCACCTGCGGATTGGAGCCCACCACCCACTGCCCAGCCACAAGTGGAATGAACTGGTGGGCTGAGACTATGAAGACTATCAGACTATGAGAATATGGTCAAGACAAGGAAATAGCTGCCAGAGGTGGCTATAATCTCACCTGTCATATCTGTCTCATCTGTGTCCCCTCCTTTGAATATATTTGCTTCCCCCTTCCTCTAAACCCCTGAAGTCCAGCTCAAATCTCCCTTCCTTTGAGCTTATTACTTGTTCTACATGATGAACATTCAGAGCCATAGAAATCATACAATTACAGAGACATTTGGGCCATATAATTCAGTGACCCATGGCAAGAATCTTCCTCAAGAAAGCCTTGATGGGCAGATCTCAAGCCTGTTAATGCCCCTTGATATATAGGTGCCCTATCTTATACTGAGTCCAAACCTATCTACATGGAGAAACTTCATGAAATGCCACTGACTTTTAGATATATAATAGTTATTGGTAATTACTGTAACAGTCCTGTAACAATGGGTACTGTTATCCCTGTACTACAAAGAAGTCTAAAGAATGTCAAGGAGTTTGTCACTTGTCAAGATTACTCGGTCAGTGATGGGACTTAGATAAACCATGGCTGCTTGGAGTTATCTCCTGTGTTTTCCCAGGACATCATTATGACTCTGAATACAGCACTCTGAGGGCTCCAGAGAATGACAACAACAGTTAAGCCAAGGAAATTTCCAAAACAAGTATTCCTGGGTCAGCTGCAGCAAGCCAATCCTCACCCACAAACATCAACCTTGACAACAGGGCACGCGGTTGCAATGTACCTACCTAGGCAGACTTCCTCAAGGAGCCATGCTGGCAGAGAAAGGCTTTTCTAGGCATGGCTGACCAATGACAGAGCCTTAGCAAGAAAAACAAAGACAAATCTTCCCTCTTCAGGCTGGTTATGTTTTAGTCACGCAGTATAGACATGAAGTGTCTCCTATCTTTTAGGAGGAGGGTTCTCAGCCAGTATAGCAATCTCTCACTCATCCTTAAGACCCAATTCAAAGTCACTCACCCAATGACAAGTCCAAGATAGCCTACTCTTAGAAAAAGACCATCAGTACCTCATTCTGTGCTGCTTGCATTCTTCATACAGCTAGCTACCTTTACCACTCTGGAGTGGGACTTGCTGAGATCCATTTCTTACTTGGCTAGGAGAACTGCTGAGGGGCCAAATCATGTGTATTCATTTAGATATCCCCAGCATCTGGCCGAGTGCCCAAGATTTGGTAAAAGCAAGCTAAATTATAAATAAATGGAACTAATAAGCAATTGCAACTGTAGAGAACTTGCAATTCACACATCACATTATTTTAGATCTTGATCAACACAGGAATACTGACAGGCAGACAAAGGGTATATTACTGAGGTTAGGGGAAATCTGGCCAATGTCACAAATTATAATCTACCATCTTCCCTATAGTATCAACGATAGGTTGAGATCCACAGAAATAACAATTATAAAATGTAGTGAACTTTGGTACTGACTCTGTGCTCTGATAGCAAAGGACTGTCTAGCTGCCTTGAGCCTGTGGCTTTTCTGTGATACTGAGATTCACTGTTCCTCACATATCTTCCAGACACAAACCACGAGAGCCCATGTATGTACGTGTACACACATAAACACACACACACACTGAGTCAGTTTAAAAGAAAACCAAACGTCAAGGATCTTACACTTTGATGCGTATCACCAATGAGGATGACCTAGAGCTGGGAACAGTGCCTCACTTACAGCAGGCAGGCAATGAATACTAATAGTAGGAAGAAAAGACAGAGTGTCTTTAAATGAAAAAAGGTTAATAAAACACTAAGGATTCCGGGGCATCCAACATTTTGATACTGGAACCTGATGATGTGTCTAACATATGCTGAGCCATCCTCATCGTTATTCTGGCAGCTAGAGAAGAGCCCCGAGATGACATCTATGAACTGTCATTACCCTAGTACCAGTCAGAAAGCAGAGAATAAAGTAGATAAACTGAAATACCTTGGACAATAAACTATAGTAGACAAGGTACTCAGTGAAGGGGGTGGGGATCTTATAAGCTATCAAGAGTTTATTAATAATTCCTTAAAAAATTTCTAGATTACACATCAGTAGCAACAGCTTTGGGGATGGAATTCAGGTCCTTGTGTTAGTAGCACGTCCCTACCACGGAGCAGTATCTCCAGCCCTAGAATGAATGTTTTCAAAAAGGTTCTTAAGGATTTTGATGGTTATTGATTCTCTGAAAACAATGCAGAATGCACAGGAGTAGACAAGGGTCATTAGGATAAGGAAGGAAAACAAATGCTGGACACATTTTTTATTTTAACAACAAATGGTGAAAAAGTTGTCTCAATTTTGTGGACAAAATATTTTTTTTTTTTAAAGATTTATTTATTTTTTATGAATGTGAGTACACAGTTGCTGTGATCAGACACACCAGAAGAGGGCATCAGACCCCATTACGGATGGTTGTGAGCCACCATGTGGTTGCTGGGAATTGAACTCAGGACCTCTGGAAGAGCAGTCAGTGCTCTTAACTACTGAGCCATCTCTCCAGTCCGGACAAAATATTTAAATGGAAGATGGAGAAGAAGGAACGTATTGATGACAGTTGTGGATGTTGATAATACATCCAAAGTGCTTTGCCATGTGCTGGAGAGCTCTGACTCCGTGACCTTATGGTCATCTGGTCTTAAAGGTGCACGATGATACAAAGTATGTCTGTCTGTAACAGTGCCAGTACACAGAGATGTAATCATACGTAGTTCTGAGTAACTACCCAATCTACAGAAAGCCTATTAACTGCAGGCCGTACAAAGTCACAAGAATAGTCAATACATTATCTTTCTTTCATCACAGGCTTTCCTAATATTTTTATTGTCTGTCTACCTACCTATTTGTCTACTTGCAATGAAGGTTGGTTGTCATGACATTAAAAAGAACTCAGAGAGACTGGCAAAAATTAATAAATGATTAAAGTCTCTTTATGCACCATCTATGGTTCCTTCAGTATTGAAGAGTCAAGTGGAATAGGCATACCTAAGACCAAAAGGCCCATAAAGTTGAAATTGTATACAATTTGGCTATTCCTAGAAAAAAATTATTGACCACTATTGTATTGATGATCTAGAATGAATTTGAGCATCAACCTACAGAGCATTAGAACATGGGGCACCTGGCTGCCAGCAAAAGCTGGACCAGATTCTGTGAAATCTGCTAAAATTCTGAGAGCAGAAGAGAAGACATTCAAAGAATCCCTACTACCCCTGGCCCCACTATCTAAGTTTCTTTGTTTTCTGGTGAGAGCACCAACCAGCAGACAGACCCAAGCAGAGAGTTGTTCTTGAGTGACAGGAAGACAGCCCTTCAGCGGATTCCATTCTAGGCAGCAAATCTAGGGCAGGTTTGGTGCTCCTAAACTTCACTTCTGTTTGAAGTGACACTTTCCATCTCAGGGTAACTCACAGAGATATAAGTCATGGCTAATACATGGACCTGTCAGCTGGCAAGGAGAGAAGACATATGGGCAGGTCAGAGTTCAAATAACCATAGAAGAGGCCAAGATTTAGGGAGCATTGAGAAGTGCAGTTGAGGACAGGGTAATGACACACCTGATGTAGGCATAGTGCCCTAGTGCTCTTGGAAAGTCCCTTATGCCACTGACCTGAGAAACGTTTTCCTTGGGCCACCAAAGCCGCCTCAGTCTCTCTTCACTAACTCAGAGGGCTGAGCAAAGTGAGTGAGTTAGTTTCTTGTCTGCTAAATCTCCTCTGGGATACAAGTATTACTTTTAAGGCAGTCAGCACGGCTATTGTCCTGCTATTACTAATACCAACAACTCTAAAGCAGCCAAGCTGTCCTGTCACCAAATCTCAGAAGAACAAAATCTACTTAGATGACAGTGGACAATGGGCAGGAGGCAAGCACAGTCTGCACAGGCAAAAAAAGCCCAGGTATAAAACACACATCTGTCTGCACCAGTGTAACCTGCACTCTTCTCCGTTTCATTTCTGAAAAACTACTCACTTGAGACAACACTGACTGATTTGACCAGATGCTCTCCAACAGACAGATGCCACAACACCTCTTTTCAGTCTTGGTAACCACCACATGACAACCCATGAGTTATTAATAACGAGTCCATTCTTACAGTTCAGAACATCAAGACACAAAGAAGGTCTGTTCTTCACCCTAGGTCACAGCACAGCAAAGAGCCAGGCCCAGAAATACGACCACATACTGAAAAGCAATATTCACAGTTGAACTTAGATAACTCTGTGGCTGAGGGAATCATAATATTATGTTCTAGTACTGGGACAGGTGAGTCTGCACAGGAAGTGAAAGGAGCAGGTCCATATCCCATGCAGAATCCTCAACCATTTCGTTGACATCTGTTCGACTGCTTGCTCCTCAGAGGCTCCCTCCCGCCTCCCCTCACTTAGGCTCTGATATCTTTCCCAACACTTTCGAAGTGAAAAGAACTGTGAAAGGCATGTGTTCTAAGTCCTCTGGGGGACCTATGAGTACTTGCTGACACTGAGCAATGCTTGTGGAAGCCACAGGCAGAGAGACACCAGAGAGGTGGGGTAGCCCAACCTTACCTTCCAAAGAATGGACTCCCTGTTCATTGGCAGTCTTATAGACACTGCTGAAGTCATCCCCAAGGTTTGGGTCAGCTCCAGCCGCAAGCAGGACCTGCACCACACTGGAAGCAATTAGAAAAGCAGATCATAAGGTCTGGTTTTCACAGCTATAAGACAAACAATTCATTCAACAACTACTTATCAAATGCCCACTACACTCTAGTCACTGGTCTATGGGCTAGACTCTATGTGGCATGGAATTTACAGACTGCTAGGAGGGAAGCAAAGAAAAATAATATGAATAGACAAGAAGTTGAGAGATTGGGGTTGGGGTTGAGACAGGGGTGATAGGGATAGGGGAGGGATGAAGGCTGAGAGGGTCAATATGTATTTATATAAATAGTCTAAGAACAAGTTTAATCACTAGAAACACACCTAGGAATTAAGCTTCTAAGGGAGGTGAAAAACATTACAGGAAAGTGTAGGATGGATAAGTACACCAGGAGGGCACAGGAGGAGCTGGAGTGAGACAGAAGCAGGGCAACACAACAGGAGTCCAACGAGGTCAGTATTTCATCTGAGGTGTGGATGAGAGGAAGGACAGAAGGAGAGAAGGAAAGCAACATGACCGCACATGCTTTCTTCTACACACCCACATGCATGAATTCTGACAACATTAAAATACTAAAAACAGAGGTATCTCCTTAGATCCACCTCCATAATCCAAATTTTAAGAGTAACCATTATACAGAGTTTGGTATATTTTGTTCCAAACCTTTGCAATTAGGGAGATCATTCCCTATGCTTTCTAAGAATGGGCAGGAGTATGAGTGCTGGCAGAGACTCTATGGCGCATAGGCAATAAAAAGAGCACAGGGCACAGTGCTCACACATCCCTACTACATGCTCGGAGTCTGCTCGCTTCCCTTCTTTCTTCTATAATGTAGTAGCTCTCCCTACCCCATAAAGGGTTTCAGAAAGAAGATGCCACAGAACACAGGATATTTGGCTGTTTCTTTTCAGTAAGCATCTATATATAATTTACAGTAACTAGGGCATATATAAACACACATTTCCTTTTTATGCAGGTCTGAAACAGCATTTGTCACAGTTGTAGAGTATTCTATTGTAAGATTATTTTATATATATATATTTTTTCTTTTGAGTCAGGGTTTCTCTGTTATCCTGGGTGTCCTGGAACTTGCCATGGAGACCAGGCTAAACTCAAACTCAAAGGAATTCTCCTGCATCTGCCTCTGTAGTGCTAAGATTTAAAGCATGTACCACACCCAGCGATTCTGTCTTTTAACCAATCTTTTATTGTAAAACAGAATGTCTCATATTTTGATGACAATCAGACAAACTACTAGGAGATAAAGTTATGGGAGAAAGCATGAGTTCTTCCTTTTCCCCACTGAGACAAGGACTTGCTATGTAAACTTGTGGTAACCCTTCACATTCGGCTTCAGCTTCCTGAACTCCTGTTTTACAAGCCCATGGCACCAAACAAAGCTAGGAAAAGCATTTCAAAGGACTTTGGTGAGTACTATTAAGCTGCCTTTCAGAGTTTGGACTGTGTTTTATTTCTACTAGCCAAGTATAAGGCAAGCAGTAACTCTGTGCTTTCCCTCCTCAGAAGTATTTCTTCTTCTTTTTTTTTTTTTGGAGCAGAACATGGAGCCACAAAGTTCTTTCACTTCTCTGATTCCTAGCCAAGTAGAATTTCTAAGAAATGAGGTTTAATAGTCAATTGTTCTCTGTTTCACGAATTCCTTATCAATGTCCTTTGCCAGATTTTCTTAGTGAAAGGTCATTTTTCCTTTTTCTGAACTGACCTCCTCCTCCTCCTCCTCCTCTTCCTCCTCTTCCTTCTTCTTTTTAAATTATTTATGTATGTGTGTACACTGTAGCTATCTTCAGACACACCAGAAAAGGGCATCGGATCCCATTACAGATGGTTGTGAGCCACCATGTGGTTGCTGGGAATTGAACTCAGGACCTCTAGAAGAGCAGCCAGTGCTTTAACCTCTGAGCCATCTCTCCAGCCCCCTGAACTGACCTTCAAACACCTTGAAAGGCATCATAAGTGGTAGGTGTCTCAAACAATCCTGGGACTATCAGAGCTATTAAAAGGCCAGCTTTTAGCTCCAGTGTTCTCCTCTAGTTCTCTAGTATTTGCAACCAGCAATGCTGATGGCCTTTTTTATGTATCACCTGTTTTGAACACTGTTATCTCCCGATGGACACAACATCTGGGACAATTTGGGGACAATCTGGGCATGATTAAGTGAGTAACAATAATGGCTTATAACTTGTTATAATTGCATAAATATCTTTCTTTAAAGGAAGACTGCAGAGATGAGGCAAAGTTAGGAACTGGGAAAGAGTTTTTATTATAGGATAAAGGTATATGTCAGATAAGTTGTACTTACAATATTTATGTCTGTATAAGATTCATAATAATTCATCAAATAAACATAATTCTATTTATATTTAATTCCACATTAAATCCCAGCATTTGGAGTATCCATAGTACAAGGTCATCCTCGGCTCTATACTGAATTCAAGGCTAGCCTGGGATAAAAAATAATGTAGGAGTAATGGCTCACGCCAGTAAACTCAATAGTGAGGAGGCTGAGACAAGAGGACTGCAAGAAATTAAAATTTCTAAAGGCTAGCCTATAAGTGTGAGACACTATTTTAAAAGAAAAAGGTAATCTTTTATTTTTGAGCCATCATCTCTTGACTTGCTATATAGCTAAGACTGGTCTAGAACTGCTCAGACTATTGCCTCTACTTCCTGAATACTGAGATTGCAAGTGCCAGCCCTAGCTGGGCAAACTCCCACACAGGATGTTAACTAATAGTTGCAGAAGGTTCCAAAAATAGAAATTTACCATTTAAAAATTTAAATTCCTTTATTTCTCTGTGTTTGTATATGCAGCTGTGTTTGTGTCTCAGCATGTACATGGAGGTCAGACAACAACTTTCAGGAGTCAGTTCTCTATCATGTGGGACCCAAGGATGGAACACAAGTCATTGGGTTTAGTGACAACAGCCTTTACCTGCTGAGTTTTCTTGCTATCCCCGGGTGGTGGTGGTGGTGGGGTGGGGTGGGGGGGACATTCTATAACCTTAAGTCATCTTTGGAAACAACAGGGCTGTGTTAAATTCAGTCCTTAGGACAGTCCTGAATAACAAACGTAGCACCACTATGTACCTGACCCATGGTACTTTCTACCATGCACTGAGACCTCGAGTCCAAATGCAGTTCTGTCATTTACAGATGGTGTTTTTGGATAAGACGTTTGACCTAGAGTCTCCTCTTCCTTAACAGAGTAACAAAAGATAGCAATGCTTCCCGACAGACTACGAGGGAAGTAAACTCCATAGTGTTTGCAGGTGTATGGACAGACATGAGCCTACTCAATTGGCTGACACAATCATAGCAATCACTTGAATCTAGGCCTGAACTGACCATTCCCAGCATGAATGTCAGTACAGCCCCATACAAAGTAGGCAGCTCTTCTACAGTCTGCACAAGTTGACATGTTTTCAAGTTCAAATGAGAAGGGTCTGTCAATCTAAATTCAAAGGGACATAATTTGGTTAACCCTCAGCTGCTGTGTCCAATCACTATTCAATCACACCCCCTCTCATGGCAGGCTGTCCCTCTAGGCAGCTAGTGTCACTAACTGTGCTACCTGGGCCTCTCTAGGTTCATGAGTATTGATTCCATCTGTCCAATTTGCAGGCTGGAGGACGTGTCCAGGCAACTATGGATGCTGCCCTTGGCCCTGGAGGGCAGACAGTGGTCTGGCAGGATGGGGAGAAGAGAGTGGCTAGGATCGGCCCTAGGGCTGCTAACCCAATCAAAGAAATAGGCAATTCACTTCGAATACTTGGAGCCTAAAGAGGATAAGCAATCCAAGATAGTGACTCATCTGCAACCTTAAGAAAATTCCCTTCATTTCTCATATAACTCAAAAGGCAACAGCACCACTGAGGGAAGACAGGCTTAAAGAAATTGAGGGTGCTCTGTGCAACCATGGCTCCAAACATCCTGCCAGAAGGCTATGAAGTTTTCTTTCCAGCAATGGTCACATCTTACAAAGCACAGAGCTCCAGATCTCTGGTCAGTTCCTTCTTGAAGAAGCCAGCCCAGCCTGGGTTAGAAAACCATTTATTTTAATTTGGATGACTAAAGATCCTCACTGCACTGTGGGTTACACAACACAGACAGGCTAGAGAAAGCAACCACAAGGCTGTTGAGGAAAAACTTAACTGTAAGCCAGGTACAAGGATTGTCAAGTTTACAGTACTGAAGGGAAGCTAGAATGAAGTGATTTCTGCTTCTTTTCTGCTACAGGGGAAAGAAACTCCCTGGTTCAAGGCACTAGTGGGAGGAAAGGTGAGCACAGGGAGCGGTGGGTCGTCGAGTACTAACATTAAGGACAATGGCTGACAGCATGGTGGCAGGTGGGGTCTACCAAAGGTTAACTGGGACTGCTCCTCTGATCTGGTGCTGGCACGCTGGCTGCCAGGTTGCAGGAAGCTCCACCACCACTGCCTTAAATGTAAGTAGCTACTATGAAACAGGATGTGGCCTAATATCAGATCTTAATCACTTGATTAAAAGAAGCAGAGGACACACCATTCAATTCAGGGTTTTCTCTAACCTTCAGTCTCTATTCAAAAGAACTATATTTATTGGCCTTTGAATATCAGCAACTCTCTTTGGCAGTTCAGGATCTGGTCCCTGATGGTCTACATAAAGATCTGCTTATCTCAAAGCTGGAGATCATCTCTAGATACACTATGCTACTTCTCTTACCAATGAGAAGAAGCAGAGAATGTTTATACAGCATGAGGTGTGTTATAGAGCCCTCACTTCCTCATACTTACTTTCAGCTATCAGTCTGTGGCAAACACCTGGCTTCAATTTAGATTTGAAAAGACAAGCTATGAATGGGGAAGAAACAAAACTAAACAAAACTAAACAGGACCAGATATGAATTCACTTTCCAGAAGAGGACATAGCATATAAGAGTTCTTAAGTTCAGGGGCTGGAGAGATGGCTCAGAGGTTAAGAGTCTTCCCTTCCAGAGGTCTTGAGTTCAAT